CTTCTGGTACGGAGATCCTGGAGGTTTGCCTCCTTTCCCCAGACCTCAGTGAGGTCTAGGATCTCCGCATCAGACCAAGAAGGCGCATGTTTCCCTCAACCACAGGCAGGGTCCTCGGAGCTGGCTGCCTACTCCGATGCAGCTGTGGAGAGCTCGGACGGAGCACGGGGGTGGCTCATGGTTGCAGCAAAAGCTGTGAAGGCTGCTGCAGTGTGCCACAGGGCTGGCAGGGCCTGCGCTGTGCCACAAGCCCTTTTCTCTGTGGCTGCAGCTTTAAGGTTTTTCAGGGGAAGGGGAACTATAGAGCTCCGATGAGTGTGGACAGAATGGCCAGCAAGACACCTGTGGGAAGCTCTGGAGGCCACTTACAGTGACAGGACTCCAGCTGCCCTGTCTATGCATGCCCTATTTCAAAATAGTTATTTCGAAATAGGCGTTATTCCTCATAAAATGAGGGTTACAGTTTATGGAATAAGGTGCCCGTTATTTTGATATAATTTGAAATAACGGGCTTGCTATGCAGATGCTCACTTTATTTTGAAATAACACTGCTGTGTAGATGTGCTCTTTAGGGTATTCATTTTGTCTTGAAATGTAAAAAAATGTTTTCATTGTTTGGTTTCAATAAAATCAAAAAAACATTTTAAATCAAACAAAATGAAAATTTCAATTTTAAATTGACATTTCCACACGTGTGTGTGTGTGTGTGTATACACATATACACACACATTTTTTAGTTTCAAGATGTCAAAACAAAATAAGATCCTCAGTCAAAACAAATTGAACTAGTTAGGTTTACGTTTGTCATTTTGAAGCCAACACATTATTTTAAATTGACGTGTTTATTGAAAAAAAAATCATTCCTGCAGGCAAATCAAAATTTTGGTCAGATTTGTCAGTTTGTTATGAAAAATGTTAGTTTTAGTTAAACCAGATTTTTTCAGCGGAAAAGCTTTCCATGCAATTTTCATTAATCAGCTCACATGTGCTGAAAGTTAAGTATGTGCCAAAGTACTTTGCCATGGTGGGACCTAAATTGCATGAGTTTAATACCATTACTTTAATATTTTCTTTCTTTCATAGTCTAAACTGGCTGAAAGGCATATCATTCAAATAAATCTATTCTGATCTAAAATAATCCAATAGTACACACAATAGAACACTTAGGGTTAATGTTTTTTGATATTGCTACAATAATTTCATCTCCAATGTGGAATATATTTTGTCATAGTCTATTCACAGAGTGTGATTTATGTATAAAACAAAAGAGAGGAATAAAACATTTTTACAGGAGATCAACAGTAAGATTTCCTCAGGCATTTTTCTAGTTAAAGAAAGATGAAAAAGGGATTATGTTGGCATAATACAATTATTATGCTGCAGTATAGTTCAGTTAAATTTTCAAATCAGGGCAGCTCTTTGCAACATTAACATGCTACATGTAACAGAGACAAATAACAGCATTTTGCACACACATACAATAATAAGAGAATTGGGGAAAGAAACTCAAGTGCCAGGATGGGGATGTGATGTGTGTGACACGTAGGCTATGTCTAAACAGGGATAGAAACCCACTGTTGGCCTGGGGCAGCAGACTTGGGCTCCCAAGGTTCAGGCTCTGGGACTGACGAATGTCCTTGTAGACTCTTGAGCGCAGGCTGGAGCATGAGCTGTGGGAGCCTGTGGGTGTGGAGGGTCCCAAAGCTCAGGCATCAACCGGAACCCAAACAGCTACGCAGCAATGTTTAGCCCTTTGGCCCAAGTCCTGTGAGCCCCAGTGAGCTGACCTGGGCTAGCCACAGGAGTACAGTGGTTCTTTTATCCCTATGTAGATGGCCCCAAGGGGCTCAGTAGCCAAGCTGCTGTCTTTTTAAGTGTAGAGCCTCAGGATGTAACACTGGCTGCTCAGCATACTTAATGAAGATCTTTTCCATACCTCTGCCTGCATAGCATATCGCTTATTAATAATGAAACACCAATTAACTCTTGTGAAGAGCGAGCTCTAGGGCACTACACAAAGGAGTGTTTGTAGGACTGGACACTGTTAATATAACATGAGTAGAATAATCCTCAGTAAACTGTTGCACAGTTCATTAGTGTACTTGTCTTGTAGAAACGCTATCCAGAAAGAACCAAGTTCAGTAGCAACATATTGTCCCAGGTTCAACCTGGCACTTAAGCAGATGACTAAATTTAAGCAAGTGACTATATCCTACTGAGTTCAACTTGCCTTTGCGCTCAAACCCAAGTACATGTCTAAGCCCTTTGCTGAGTCGGGCCTGCTCTATAATGGGGAGCAATATCACGGACTTAGTCTTCATTCATCAAAGATAACAATGCACAACCCACCAGTGACGTAGGTGATTGATTCCTGAAGTGAAAAATAAGCATATTACTCTGGAATTATGTGTTACAGTATTGACACTCTTAGTTCAATGACAAAATAGATCAACTTTATGTGGTAGCAATATTGCAACTAACAATGTTTGAAATAGGATTTCCTCATTGAACCTTTGGCTAAAATGAACACATACATGTTTCAGTGAATGTTTAAAAACCATTCCATGTGGATTCATAGAATAGTTGCATTTTTCCAATCAATCAACTTTATTCAAATGGAAAGTACAAATAGTAGTGCTAATCCTACTACCAGTGAAGTCAAAGACTTCTGCCATTGATTGCCAGTAGCTAATCCAAAATAGTGTCACACTATCCACTGTTATCACAACTCTGATTCACAGACACTGAACCAAACTACTAATTTAACAGCAGTGAATAATATGGTGTGTGATATATTTGGATTTTAAGGGACTTATTGAAGTAAATGGGTTCTTTGCTATTGACATCAGTGGTGTGTGGATTTCATTCGAAGGGATTCATCTATGCATTACACTGTAAGACATTGGGATATCCTGCACCCTACAATCCATCAATAGAAATGGGGAAAAAAGCAGTATCTTCAAACTGATATTCACTATCTACTCTCAAGTGTTCCAAAATTAAGCAAATGAACAAAAAAAGAGTGAAAATGAATCATATCTAGGTGAGAATCAAGATCTGAATGTTTGTTATGGAAAGTTCTATATCTCTCTCATTTTAACACAGAATAATATAATGAAATGTGATGCTACCTAGAAATTTAGCTTCTGCACTTAGAATTAATTATATACAATAAAATATTTAAATATGTTCAAAACATTAGAAATGGTTTTAAAAATGTGGTTCTTATTGCTTTTCTGAGTCCTAAACTATTCAGTCAAGGCATCTTCCATTTTGTTTCAATGGCTTTAAACAACTAACAGTGTTCAGCTACTAATAATTTTCCTGTTCACCCCACTCAACTGCTGGATCATCATCCATTCGCAGAATAAGATAGGAGAGAAGCTGAAAGAGATTCTGCCACAATAATAAAGAGACAAAAAAGGAGAGGTCGCTTACATCTATCTCACAGCGGTCACCAGCATAGTTTACATCACAGATGCACTGGTATTTGTTAAGTAGGTTTTGGCAGAGGCCTCCATTCATGCATGGATCAGAGTTGCACTCATCAATGTCCATTTCACACCTACAGTGAAAGACCAAAAGCACTAAGCAGCTGTGATGGCAATTAGATTTAAACAGACAAGGTGTCCAGTCAGTCATTGTCCTGGAAATAACAGAATTAGCGATCTTAGCAACAACACTTAAATCTTTATTGCTTACATCTTTAAATCTTTAATGTTGTTTTCTACTATAGATACGAAAATGGGAACTTTGATGCTTACATTGGCACTCAGGGTATGTCTACACTGCATTCCTCCTTCGAGAAAGGAATGCAAATGCAGCTGAGCAAAATTGCAAATGAAGCGTGGATTTAAATTTCCCATGCTTCATTTGCATAATTATGTCCGGATGTTTTTTTTCGAAATACCCTATTTGGAAAGAAAAAACACAGTCTAGATGGGGTTATTTTTTTAAAAACCCTTCTTTTGAAATAACCCTTACTCCTTAAAAAATGATGTTTAAGGGTTATTTCAAAAGAAGAGGACTTTTTGAAATAACCCCATATAGATTGCATTTTTTCTTTCGAAATAGGGTATTTCAAAAAAGCGCCCGGACGCGATTATGCAAATGAAGCATGGGAAATTCAAATCCGCGCTTCATTTGCAATTTCACTCAGCTGCATTTGCATTCCTCTCTCAAAGGACGAATGCAGTGTAGACATACCCTCAGACATGTGAGTTAGGCATTTGTGACTTACGCTATGTTTACACAGGAATGAAAAACCCTACGAAGGTGGGAGAGTCCCAGAATTTGGTTTCTAGCCAAGCTTGTGTCTACATAGCAATTTTTAACTCTGCAGCCTGAGCGCTATTTGTCCAAGTCAGCTGACCCAGGCCAGTCATGTGCCTTTTAAAGACCAATAATACCAGGAAATATAATATATCAAATGTAGCATTGTATCCGATTTTAAAGGTTTAGTTAAGTATTTTTAATAGTTTTAAAAATCTATATCTATATTTTAGAGTGCAGACTGCGCCAGTCTGTTTGTTCAAAGACTCCTACTAAATGGCAAGAGGTAGGGACAACAAATTTGGTATGCAGCTTCCTCTTCTCCTAATTTCAAACAAGGTCAGGGTTTGTTTGTGCCAGGACAACTGGAAGCCCTGGGAATGATTAGGAGTTTAGAACGAGTGTCATATGAAGAGAAATTAAAAAGACTGGGACTTTTCAGCTTAGAAAAGAGGAGACCAAGGGGAGATATGACAGAGGTCTATAGAATCATGACTGGTATGGAGAAAGTGAACAAGGAAAAGTTATTTAATAGTTCCCATAACATAAGAACTAGGGCTCACCAAATGAAATTAACAGGTAGCAGGTTAAAAACAAACCAAAGCTTTTCTTCATGCAGAGCACAGTCAACCTGTGGAATTCCTTGCCAGAGGATGTTATGAAGACCAGGACTTTAACAAGTTTCAAAAAAGAACTGGATAAATTCATGGAGGTTAGGTCCATCAATACTTATTAGCCGGGATGGGTAGGAATGGTGTCCCTAGCCTCTGTTTGTCAGGGGCTAGAAATGGATGACAGGAGAGGGATAACTTGTTGATTACCTGTTCTGTTCACTCCCTCTGGGGCACCTGGCATTGGCCACTGTTGGAAGACAGGCTACTGGGCTAGATGGACCTTTGGTCTGACCCAGTACGGCCGTTCTTATATTCGTATGTGAAAACATTAGTTCTTTCATTGAGCTGAAAATCCCAGTCTAAATTTAGTGAATAGTTTCTTTGCAAAGAACAGTTTAATTAACTCTACTGAGGAGTAACTTGTCCATCTCCAGCAACTGTCAATATCATTCTTTAAGTCCTCACCCAAAATCTATTGCATTGTGTGGAAAAGCACCCACTGATTTCCACAGGTTGTGGATCAAACCCTTTCTCAGGGATTGCTTACACTTTTGAAGGAAAATATCTGTAATATCAGTCCAATGAATCAGGACATGGTGGGTTTTATCCCATTATGTGAAATATTTTGAATTTGTTCTGGTAAAATAAATCTTGTGAGAGTTCTGTCTGATTGAATTTACTGAAGGTTTTCAAGAGAAAGACACTGCTAGTTTACGTTACAATGTTTTGGGAACCTGGAGGGAAAAAAAGTAAATATTGTGGCAATGTAGGATTTAAAAAAGAGAATAAAGAACAGAATGTCTCATTGCAGGGATATGTTACTGTGCTGCATACTTAGTGCCAGCTCACCACTCAGGAGTAGGATCTCGGAAACCATGAAATAGAGGTTATTGCCAGGCAGTGGGTATAGATTTAAGGAAGGACTCTCATTTTCAAAGCTTTGTTTAGCAAGATGCCTGGGGGCAGAAGGAAAAAAGCACTTTCCTCTTACCCTGACTCTCCAAGAAAAATACACACCAAAAAAACTATAGTTCCCCCCCCCCCCCACCAAATCTTCTGGGGTTCGCAGGAGGCCCTTCTAGATGCCTGACTTAAATGTTACAGCTCAGCAGCAATTGCCAACTGTGCTATGTACTGGGTGGGCCAGAATTTTTCATTTAATCTATCATTTATGACTTACTACAGTGATTCCACAAAGTCAGTGGGTGTTAAAAAGTTAATGAGAGGGGGAAAAAAACCTTTCCTTGAAAGGTTTTTTTTTTTTGGACTGTGCTAAGGCTACATATTGTGGGCCCGTTGGGCTTTTGGACACTGTATGCCACTGATTTAATTTTCTTTGCACTGAGCGAGAGCAGAATCATTTGTCTTATATTTCCTACCTTCTTTGTACCATATTTCTTTGCTTGCTGTCAGCTGAAAGCTTCTGTACAAAACTTGGGATAACCGATAGGGGTTGGGACCATGTCTTTCTCTGTTTGTACAGCATCTAGAGCAATGGTCCCCCTCTCTTGACTGAGAGTCCAGGAAATATAGAGAATTGGTAAGAGGCAGTAAGTATGGGGTGAGGAGGTGTACACCACACAATACAAAGTTAGTCATGAGTTAATTTGATGGGTCCTAGTACTAAGAGCTGCCCTATATATATAAAAATAAATTAACCAATTTTGTTTCTATAACATTTTTAGAATTTGGTATTAAATTAGCAAGATACAATATGAGTGGGTGGTTTGTGCATAACACTTCCCCTGTGAGAGTACATCTCATGTATTTCCATTTAATTTTAAATGACATCTAACTGCTAGTTTTATGTATTTCTATTTGTGTCTGTGTATGTCTATTAGAAGGCAGGGTATCCATTTGTGTGTGTTTACAAGGCTATATCTAGAGAGATAAAATCCCTATCTTGTTCTATTTTGTTATATTTGTACAGGCATGGAACCAGAAATATTTGTATGCAGCGGGAGATGTGACCAGTCCAATGTTATTTAAGAAAAAAGCATTTTGGGCCAAATTCATCCCTGACTGAAGTACAGTGAAGCCTTTGTTATCCGGCACTCTGTTAACCAGAAATCTTTGTTAACTAACATAGCCCTAGCCACAATACTGTCACATCTTCAGGCATACAGGCCTGGCTTGGTTTACTATGATTGGCTTAACAATTTTTTATTTAAGAAGTACTAATCATCTTCAGCTCAAAATAGAAATGTGATACCAACTGTCTCACACGACAAAACTACCAATATTAAAAACTTGGGTTTTACTATTATTGTCCATTGTTTTTTCCTACATTGATGGAACCCTCAGATAACTGGAATTTTTAGATAACCGGAATGCCCTAATCCCAAAGCGTGCCAGATAACACAGGTTTTACTGTAATTGGAATTACACAATGGATGAACTTAACACATTGATACTCATTTTTGTAGAAGTCAAATTGCCTTGCTGTTATACCCTAAAAATTTCTCAAAGAGGGGATGAAGTTAGGCAAATAACTGATTATTGGTTCACTAGCTAAACCAAAAAAATTGAAAAAAAATTGTTTTGGTTCAAACTGTTTTGTTCAACCCAAAACATGTTGTTCCTTTTTTTGAGTTCTTTAATACTTTGTAAAACATAAAATTTAGGCAAATTTCACAATGAAATGTTTCAAAATGAAAAATGGGGATGATTCTTTTTAAAAATATCAAACTGTTTAGACTTTTCCAGGTGTCTTTAAAAAATATCTGCACCCAAACTATTTGCCAAATTTGATCTGAATTCACAAAAAAGTTCAGTTGACCAGAAATTGCTTTTTTTTTTTTTTTTTGCCTATAACTTGAAGCAGAAAAATGTTGCCCAGCTTTAATTGTTCATTTTGAGTAGACAGGGCTCTGTTATTGCTTCAGGAAGTCAGCAGCAGGTCTCATTAGCTAATTCTGGATGTCTATAAAGGGGTCATTCTGGAACTCATGCAGTGCTCCCACAATAACCTGCCAAGGGAAAGTGCACAGAAAGTTCTGAAGAGTCTTACCGTTCTCCACTAAAACCTGACAGGCACAGGCATCTCAACTCGCCTTTGAGCTCAGTACAGTTGCCATAGTTGTAACAAGTGAGATTTCTCTTCTCATTCCCACAGACGGCAAAAGGTAGCTTAGTGCGCCTAGATAAATAAGAGGCAAAAGCAGCAATTATTATCTCTCTTTTTCAGGTAAAATCTAATTTTCCCCCATTCAGTCATTTAACTCCATTTTAAAATGCTAGTCTGATTCAGATGTATGTTTTCAGGATTTCTGTTTTACTGATTAATTGTTTTAATAAAGGTCATTTTCTAACCGCATTGGGCTCACAGTAAGCTAAACTTTCCTCCATAAATGTGCCAATCAGCTTTACTGCCTCCTGGGTGAAGGTACTATTCAATAGCTTCAGAGGGGTAGCCACATTAGTCTGTAACAAGAAAAACTGAAAAAACAACAAATAGTCTAGTGGCACTTTAAAGACTAACAAAACACGTAGATGGTAATATGAGCTTTCGTGGGCAAAACCCACTTCTTCAGATGACAGGAGTGTTGGAAGTCCAGATCCAAGAATAAATAAGGGAAGAAGGGATGGAGGGGAGAAGGGGAAAAAATGGAGGGGAGGAAGAAAAAGAGACAGTGAGTAGATAAGCTTCAGAAGGGTAACTGAGTTAGTCTGTGAGGGTATGTCTAGACTACTTGGCTCCGTCAACAGATCCATGTAAAGTAGTTTACCGGATATAGACAATGAAGCGGGGATTTAAATAATTCCCGCTTCATTAAAATAAAAATGGCCACCGTGCTGTGCCGACAGTCAGCTGATCTGGCACAGCGCGGCAGTCTAGACGTGGATCGGTCAACAAGGGAAGCCTTTGTCGACCGCTCCCTTATGCCTCGTGAAACAAGGTTTACAGGAGCAGTCAACAAAGGCTTCCCTTGTCAACTTATCTGCGTCTAGACTGCTGCGCTGTGCCGGATCAGCTGATTGTCGGCAGAGCGCAGCGGCCATTTTTATTTTAATGAAGCGGGAATTATTTAAATCCCCGCTTCATTGACTATGTCTGGTAAACTACTTTACATGGCTCCATCAATGGAGCCATGCAGCCTAGACACACCCTAACAGGAAAAACTTAAAAAAATACCTAATAGTCTAGTAGCACCTTAAACACTAAATAGTTATATCAACTGTTAGTAACTAAATAGTAACTATTAGTAACTAAATAGTTATATTAATAACTATATTAAATAGTTATAAGAGGCTGATAAGAACCATTAGTTTGCACTTGGAAAGGAAGATGACCAACACCAGATTCTACATATGACTGTAAATTAGCATACAGCTGTGAAGCTGCAGAAGGATGCAATGCATATAGACAGACATCTTCTAAACTCAAATCTGCACAGTTTTCTTGCAGGGAGAAACACTCTAGACCTGCATGTATCTATGAAATTACTTTCTGGCATACTTATTACCTTTGCTGTTGTCTGGATAATAAATCAAATGAAGAACAAAGAGAAATTTGGGTACTAACTAGGATGTCTGCAAAAGAAGGAAAGCCGTAGCAAAGTGCGATACCAAGCAGCAATGAACCTCAAAAACATACTTTTACATGAATTCCACTTGCTTTCCCAAACTGCAGTAATACTGATTAAATAATTTGCTATGAGGCAAGAAATGGGCCAAACCCTTCATTTAGGTAAGTGTCTTGTAGCCATTTGATAGCAATATAGTTTGGCAGATAATTTATCTGAAAGAATCTAGGTAAATCATATAGTATATCAAATGTGAAATGAAAGTTTGCTAATGGCTCAAAATATATTGCTTTCAAATTTGTCTGAGTTTTAAATGAAATTAGAAGGCCAGATCCCCCAGCCGGTGTAAATCAATGTAACTCCATTGAAGTCAGTGGACTATAATTCCTTATGGTCCAGTCTCTGTACCAATTAAGAACAAACGGGCATCCAGTATTTTCTTTGTCTTCAAGATTATTGAACTAATCCTGAAAGTCCTTACTTGGGCAAAATTCCCATTGCAATCAGTTTCTGTCATCTCAAGGAGCCATGTATGGGGCTGATATATTTATCTTTGGTCTCCTCATTACATTTCAATTCAGGGTGGTGGAAGTTCTGGGAGGAAACGATTTCCTATTATTTTGGCCCCATAAATGGCTTCCACAGACACTAAAAGAGCCTTTTCAACAAATAAGGAAGAAGAAATTTTTCAGAGTGTCTGTGAATTAGGAGCCTAAGTTCCATTGACTTTGGGACTTAAGTTCCTAAGTCAATTGGATGCTTCTGAAAATTTTACCCAAAGACAACTGCAAAGTCCTTGTTGTTTGGATTTACCCAAATAGAACTCTATGTACACATTGTACTGGAGTTCCATCAGAATTCAAGTGCACATTCCAACTGGGATAATAATTCTATAGGGAAAGCCTAAATCCTGGTTTATGTTTAAATTTAGGTTGACATAACTATGGTGCTCAGAGATGTGAAAAATAAACACTCCTCTGAGTGTCATTGCAATGCCTACATAATCATGGTGCAGATTTGGTTAGGTTAACAGCAGAATGCTTCTGTTGATAGAGCTGACACCATTAGGGGAGGTGGAATACATACAGTGACAGATAAATTCCTTTCTTCGCTGTAGGAAGTGTCTACACTATGGTGCTACAGTGGCTCAGCTACAGCTGTAGGACGTGTTGTGTGAGAATGACCTAAGTCTTAATCTAGGATTGATGAAGGGGTTGATGTTTTCTCTATTTCATTCAAGCAAGTTGGAAAACATCTGAGAGGTGAGCTCTGATGGCAGGAGTTTCTTTATCTTTGGAAGCTTTCTTATTTATACCTGCAAAATTTCCCTGTGAAGTTACCAGCACACAGGCAGGAATAAGTGTTAACTCCATCTACACAAGTTGCCCCATTTGCACACAGGTGTCCACGGCAGTTGTCTATATTCTCTTCACAGTTTACCCCAGTGTATCCAGGGTCACAGAGGCACTCATAGGCTGCAGTTTTGTCTGAGCAGTTTCCATGAATGCAGGGATTTGAAAAGCATTCATCAATGTTGGTTTCACAATGCGTGCCAGTCCATCCCTTGAGACATGCACAACGATAGTAACTATATAAGTCTTCACATATCCCATCATGCATACAGGGATCTGAGCTGCAGGCATCCAATTGCAAACAGCCAGTCATAACAGAATTTGCAGATATTTTGAGGAATTGCTCTTCTTGAGGTTTCTTAGCGTGGCCATCATAATTTTCAAAGTACGAGAGATAAATGCCGCTGATTTCTATAGTGCTCATGCATCCCCTTAGGCCATCCAGATTATCAAACGCTTTGTCGGCCACATAAATGTCTATTTCTTCTCTTAGGAAATTGAGGCTTCCTGTGGCAACTGTACTAGTTGCAGTGTCTTTTTTATCATCTATATCAATTTGCCATCTAGATGACTGGGAGAAGGGTTCTGTCATAGAGAGAATCACTTGGTGCCATTTCCCATCATTCACAGGCTGTGAACTAGCTAAGGTCAGCACATAAAAGCTGTTGCCACTTTGCAACTGAAACACTAGCTTGGTGTTCTGAATGCTAATGGTAACAAACTCTGGCTCCTTCTCAGCATACAGCAGTATCACATCAGCATCCCTAGTGCGAAAGCCAAATACAATACTGGTGAGGTCTCTCCTTATCTTCCCATTGGTTCTGTAAAATATCGCACTGCTTCTGCCACTGAATACTGCATTGGCAATACCTGTGCAAAGAGAAGAATATCCGTTGAGAAAGCAGGCCCGTTTCCGACTGATACGCGGTCAACAATTGCCTCTTTCACCGTGCCTCTTGTAATTTAAATCTTTCCACCTCTTTCCAGGAAACTTGCAATGTCTAGTCAGTATTACACCTCCTGGCCTCTTTTATTTTATTTTTTTTAAGAGACAGATGCCAATAACTACGCTTATGTACGTCAGCTGAGGCTATAGTTGTAAATGTTATAAACCTCAGGGGTAGCCTACATGTTTAAACTCTCACTGTCTCTAAGGCTGCAAGTTCTTGGAGACTGGGACCCTGATTCTGATTTCATGGCTGTGCAAATCGGGAGTGACTCTAGGCACCCAGCCTGGCCCGAGCAGCCCCACCCTACGGCCCAGCACACATGGGAGGCTGCTCCAACCTAACAGGGCCCTTTGCACCATGCTTCTGGTGGAGGACGCCAAATTGGAATGCTCCTGGCTTGCAGTGCTGTGCAGTGGGCCCCTACCCAGCCTGGTCTGAGCAACCCCGTGTGGGCCAGACACCCTGCAGGGCCATGAGCTAACAGCTGGCAACTGAGCCTAGTTACCCTGTAACCATTAGAATTTTTATCGGTTACATGGTAAAAATTTGTGTATATATTTTACATGCCTAATTTTAACACTCACTCTCACTAACTTTTTCCTGTCTCAACAACAACCTGCATCATATTGAGCTATCTGCAGGTTGCTCAATTTCCTCTGTTCTAGAAACCTTTTGCTGACCAACTCTTCTGTTTCTAGGAGTCAGCTATTCTCACTGCTTCCATTACACTTTGTATACATTAATCCTGCTTAACTGTAGCATGGGGACAATTTTGGAAGGATAAAAAAAGATCCCTTTTGGAGCACATGGCAACCAAATCTCAGTGTGCTTTTTAAATTCCACTCTCTTTCGCAGGAGGGGAAATGAGCGATATCCTACACACTGATTAGTGTTCCTATCATAAGTACTGGTCATTAATTTTTAAACAAACAGCCTTTTTGGAACTCCTGTGCTCTTTAGTAAGATGCCAGTTGACAATGATTATCTTTCAAATGCATTGCTGGTGTTAGATGCTTAAAATGCTTCGCTTTAAGAAAATGGAATAAAGCTGAGTGCAGGAGTATGTCATCTGGCATATCTTTCCAGAGGAGGGAAAACATCTTAGAATTAATCCTCTTATCTCTCTGCAGTGGTTCTCTGACAGAACAAAGTGGGCTATTTTATAAACATGCCAAGTAGATGCATTGATTAACTGAAGAGTAAAGCCCCTGCAGGCAATATCATCTGAATCCTCATTCCATTGCTTTCAAAATGGGAGGCTGTTCTACTTTTTTAAAGAGGCCCAAGATTAAATGGATCTTAATTTGTGATCAGGTGCAGATGATGGCTGAAATATGAATTTTACTATCCCATTAGTCCATTCATATTACTTTTAGTAGCAGTGATCAGGATTTTATTATTTATTTTGTTTTATTTCATTAACACACACAGTGTAGCAAGGTTGTCTGAGGGCTGGAATGCTTGATTTAATTGAAAAATTCATGAAAACCAACATTAGATGAGGTGGTTTCAGTTCCCCAAAGGTGATAGGAATGATAGAAATGTACCTACATTCAAATCCTTGGTGTACCAGCTGGCATTGTGCTTCCTGAGGACAAGGGCTGAGCTCACACCACTTAACTTCTTCGCACGCTTTCCCTGCTGTGTTTGGAGGACATGTGCAAGTGAAGTCATCCCAGATAGAGTAGCAAATGCCACCATTGTGACAAGGGTTGGACTAAATGGAAAAAACAGAGACAATCGTAGTGTTAGTAAGTGTAGAGGCCTCCCACACAAGGGAAGGCAGGATTGCTTGGCGGAATATAGTATTGTGTTTACTTTCGATTGAAAGTTGTAATGTCTTAAGGGTTCCATGCATGGATAGCAGGTATAGTAAATGGTTATCTTCACCTCACTCTTTCGTCACCCCCTTATATTTTGCTGATGATGCCCAGGAATTTCAGCAATATCTGCTCTTACCAGCATGTTTATATGTTTAATTACGATGTCATCATGACTGTTACATATTGCATGGAATTTTAATGGGTCAAAAGAGAAATACTAGCTCTAAACATGGACCCATGCTCTGAGAAATGAGATCCTTACCTTGCAAAAATTGTCACCAGTACAGCCCTGGGTCACGTTGATCAGTGTTCGATTGATGACAGAATACAATGATGTTGTGATGGGAAAGAATTCCAGATGTTGATTATTCAGTCTTACATCTTGGATACAGCCTTTAAAATACCCACCATTTATATCAGTTTCTTGTTTGTCTGGGAGTCCTCCAACATAGATAATATCCCTATTTTGGACTGTTAGTATCGGCGTAGAAATGTAGCCTAGCTGTTGAGATGATAGGAACAATTCAACTTTATTTTTCTCCATTTTTAATGATATTAAGTAAAAAATTCCATCACTCACAGTCCGTGTGCCTAATAATTTGGTGGCATTGGAGGCTAACATGATTAGTTTCCCATCTTCCAACCAGATCCTTATATACAGAGATGTACGGTTCCTCAAAGCTAGTAACAAGCCAGAAGACTTCCGTGTTCGGACAAACATTGATATAGTTATGTTTTCCTTCTGACTACTGTCAACAGAAAAAGCAGCATATCCCGAGTAGTCCTCATGTCCAAACCGGCCTGGAAAGAGAGAAAGAAAATAAAATAGTTCAAGAATAATTTACTGATGGTGGCAGCACAACGATCAAACATCTATCACCAGTCAAGAGAGTCATCCACTAGTGTGTAAGGACAAAATAAGGTTTTTACTCTGATCTGAGTGGCTTGAATGACAAAATAATTACAGGTTTCAATGGGAGCAGGGTGAGGCATTATTTTGGAGCTTAGAGGACATTACACCACATTCTTCCCCTTTTGCACCTCTGTACACAGTGTGCAAACGTGGATTGTGACAATACTTCTACTCAAACTTGCTTTCAGGCAGGTTGCTTGCCTCAGAGGCTCACAGCAACCCTCAATTTAGGCACCATACCTAGGGCATCAGCTTGCTGTTTGTTGAGTTACTCTCATCACTGGCCAGCATGAGGTACAGAATGAAACTTCACAGTCTCGGTGGACCCCCCCCCCCATATGATACAGGGCTGGGTAAACCCCTTCTTCCCTCCTAGTCTTTTCCCTGAGTGGAAATGGGGAAGTGGGTGATAGGGGGAACCCAGGCCCACCCTCTACTTTGGGTTCCAGACTAGGGCCCTGTAAAAGTAGCTGCCTGTAAATGTTTCCAACACCAGCTGTGAGACAGCTACAAAACTCCTGGGTTACTTCCCCATACCTGCCTTCTTCAGGCTTTTTCTCATAGAACCCACTTGTGCTTGCTCCTCCTAGATCTTCTGTATTCCCAGCTCCCTGTGCGCTAACTAACTGCAGAGAAGCTCTGTTTAATCAGTCTCAACTGGTTGTTTAATTGACCCCAGGAGTTCCAACTATCCTTGGCTCACTTGACACTGGAAGCCCACTTAATTAACTCCAGGTGCTTAATTGCCCTGATTGATTCGGGCAAGTTCCTGCTGGTTCTGGACTAGCCGCTGCCAGTTTATCCTGGGACCAGAGAGTTACTCAGTCTCAAGCTAATATACCTCCCTTCCCTCATTCTCTTGTACTCCTCTGGCCTGACTCTGTCTAAATGGATTCCCAGGGCAAATTCCAGCACAGTTATCTCTACTGGTCATGAAATAGGTATATTTTGAGACCCTCTTAGCTGATAACACCCCCTAAAGAGCAAGAGTACACTCCTGGCCACATTGAAGGTCATGGAAATTTTGCAGTTGTCTTTAATGGGGGTAGGATTTCACCCCAAGACCATCTGAACTGCTGCTAGTATGGGAAAAGGTAACTTACACCTTCCCATGCCAAGTAGACCCCATTACGCCATTAGGGATTCGCCCTCAGGGAGGGAAGGAAATATTTCCCCTACATCGCCTCCCTAAACATTCCCATCACAGAAAGTGGAAGCGCTAAATCAGAACAAGGGCCTTATCTAAACTGGCACATTTTGTCAAGGAAAAACTGCCTTTTTTTAAATCTCACCATGATCAAAGTGTCTGAAGAGATTTGTGCTTGTCTCCAGGTTAATCCAAGAAAGAGGGAAGTTTTTTTCAGGGGCATGCATGCTAGTGAAATGTAACAGCCTTTATCGTGAAAAGTAAAGTCACTGTATTGTTAATGAGCAGGCCTTGAGGAACCAGCCATCTTGTACACCATCACACAGAGTACAGCAACTGAGGGGGGGGAAAGCCAAGGATGTGTGATGATCTGGTGAAGGATTTGTTGGAAACCCAGGGACATCTGGGAAGAAAAGAGATGGTTGACAGGACATTGTTGCACTTTCTACGGGGTTTAGTGAGTTAAGGCACTATGGGATGCATACCCATAATGCTTTACTCTTTCTGTTGACGAGGGAGTTGAAGATGTGGCCATAAGTTGTGGACAGCAGATACCAGAAAAATTAGTTTGACAAGCTTCCAGTTTTGGCGACTTCTGTCTATCAACAACACTTTCATCGCCCAAATTTGCATGTGTAGACATAGCCTTGGTTTTGAAACAAAGACGTTCATAAAAGTATATGCTGATTTAGCACATGTTTTTATTTTCTATTCGCTGTGTATACATTACCGCCACCCTGGAGCTGTGATGGCCTCTATTCTCTTGGCAGATTACACCTATACTGATCCATATCAGCCAAGATCCGTCAGTGAATCTAGTTCTCAAACTATAATTTCTATGTATGATCAGTCTGTACCAAAACTTGACACTACTATGCAACTAGGGTAGGCAAATGAACTAGAATTCAAGACACTTTTTAAATTGTTTGTGTTTATCAGTTGATTAAACCAAAACTCCTCTCATTCTGTCTCTCTTTATTTTCCACAATGAAGCTAGGATTGAATTAAGAACAGAAAAGATGTCTTCCAAACCACTGTAATGAAAACTATTTATTTTGGTCCATCAGCCTTTTAAACCACAGCATTTCAACTCTAGTTACATTTTAAGTTTTGAAATCTTGTTCTCTGTATAATAAGCTTTCTGCCCAAACACATTCAAGAGCTATTTTTTTAGTATGTCTAACGCATAAAAAGTGTCAACCTGGTTTAAACAAAGAAATCACTCCTGGAAGTCAAAGTCCTCTTTTGTATAGTAAAAGAGGACTGGGACCTCATATGTCAAGTTTCTGCCTGCAGCACTATTTTTTTATGACTTGGTTATAAAACCAATGAAAATAGGGGATTGATTGTGAAAACTCTAACAGTCCTTTAACAACCATGGTGTTAGTATGTGCCACAGCAATATTATTTAGTAGGGAGACTAAATCCCTGACTTGTTCCTTAATAGACAATTTCTTACATACCTATGTATGGAATATTTTAATATTATGAATGAGATTATCTACATTTATTTCTTTATCTCCTTGTTAAAAACATGACGTGTAGAAATAAATCTTCCCTTTTGCTGGAATGAGTATTTTGTGCCATGAGAGCTTTGTAGTATGCACCCTCTCTAGAAACAGTCCTTAAGAATTAAGCATTTTTGTGTGGAAAAAAGAGAGGGCATTTCTAATGGCTTTAGGAGTTGGAATACAGGAGTCTTGCAATATTAGAAGCAAGGGTGAGTATCAGGAAAATGTATTAGTATACTTGAAATTAGTGCCAATTACTTTACTTTAAAAAAATCCGGACTCTGATATTGGGTTGGATGGGACAGTTAGAATCACCTTGGTTAATATTAACCTACATCTGGATGCTGATCAAAATAAGTCAACATCTGTTTGTTATTTTGTATATGTAGTGAAAATATTTCCTCATGTCAATTAACTACTTGATGGCAACTTTTCTTCAAAAAGACACTAGCATTTCTTATGTTATCCCTAGCTCAAGTTCCCTCCTCCCCACTGCTATAGTGTTTTAAGTCTTGCATATATCTAGAATCCATGTATCAAAGTGGCATGATGGTATGATTTGCAAGGAAAATTGTGGTCAGTAGAAAAAAAATACCAAATGCTTTTTTAATCATTTTCAACAGTTCTAATGCAAGGCTAAGCCTCTCCTGGCCCTGAATGGTTTTCATTTCACTTCATATAAAGACGCAAACATATTTACCAGATGTTGTCCTATATTCCAAAGTTGCTTATCAAACCTTTGGGTAAACTGTAGTTGGAGTTCAAAGCAATCTGTTAGAATTACCTCTCAAACGTTATCATTTGACAATAAAAAAGAAATAAGCTATCAATAACTATTAAATACAGACTATGAAATGATATAATATGTACACATTTTGAAATAGATTTCAAGATACAGCTTTTTGGAGAAATACAACCAATAAGTCTCCTGGGGCCAGATCCTCAGCTGGTGTAAATTGGTGTAGCTTCACTGCCTTCAATACAGCTAAACCAATTTGCAGCAGCTGTGAATCTAGCCAATGCTGCTGCTGCTCTTTCCTTTTTCCAGACTGCCTGGTTTAAAAAATAAACAGTCATTTCTTCATCCCCCCAAAATGTATCAGTAGAAAGTTAGTAATTTGTAACAGGGAGCCAGGGATGTTTTTGTATGAATAGAGGGTCGGATCCTGCACACCTTCCTCAGGCACAACTCCCTGTCTGAACTCAATGGGTGTTTTGCTGAGAAAGGAGGGGAAGGAGCTAATTCAAACTGCCCCTGAATGATGCTCTCTCTACAAACCTGGAGAATGACACTGTTTATCCACATAGCAGGTAGAGCAGAGCAGACAGCAATGCAGGGACCTCATACTGTCCCTCCCATTTGCCTCAGCTCATACTGGGTGGAACACATGGTGGGAAACGAGTCATTCAACTTCCAGGCTCATTCAGGGTTTGGCCTTGTGACGACGTGTTGGGTATCCCCCGACCCTGCACCCCGTCTGCAGCAAGATGAGACTCCGCCAGCCAGTAGAGAGGATTTATTGCTTCTTCGAGGTACAGCACAACCTGGATTCCATGTGGGCATCCAAGTGAGGGGGCTGGCAGCCTAAGACCCCTTGGGGTAGAGGTCCATAGGCCCCTGAATTCCCAGTACTCAGCTTAGTCTCTTCTCTTCATATTTTTCCAGCCAAGACTGCCCCTTCTCTAAACCACATCCTTTCTTTGTTCAAAACCCTTCCCTGCCCAGGTGAGAACCTGTTGGGCCATGGTCTACATGACATGAGGTCTGTCAGGGTGACCGCCTGCTTGGCAGTGCTTACAGACCAGGCCAGTAGGGGTCACTCACAGCCCAAGCATAGCGACCAGTGATTGCCCAACCTGCCCAACCAGACTGTACCACACACATCACAAGCTTCTCTGCTGACTCTGCCAGTAAGGTTTTTGAGATGTAGGTGCATGGCCAGTGGAAAGAGGACTCATTTTATCCTCACCACCAGATAGCTCTCAGGTGGCAATAGCAATTGGCAACTCTCACCTTGGGCTGCACTTCATCCAGCTGTCAAAGATCTGATCACCAACCCTCAAGCCTCCATAGGGTGGCTGGACGATGCTATTGACTGTCAGGCTTAATCTGCTGTGAAAGCTCAGATATGAAGTTTTAAAAATATCTAAGATTTTTCATCTGTTCAGTGATCTGTTCATGCTTTATTCACCCTTAAAAGCATGAGCAAACCTTTGCATGCACATAAAGGCTACCTCTGTATTTTGAGCTAGTGGCATGACTGCCTCGTCATGTCACTAGGTCTCATTGAGTTAGCTAGCCCAGTTTCAGGGTGGTTCATACTCAGGATGGCTCAGTTGTCCCTTTGCTGTTGCTACCAGTGCTATCGTGGCTATCCTGTTATTGATACTCAGTCTAGCTCAAACAGAACCAGTGCAAGTATATCTAAACGAGCAGGGGAACCACCCCTATTTGTAGTGAAGACATAGCCTCTAAGGGTACTTCTAGACTGCAGGCTTCTTTTGAAAGAAGCTTTTTTGGAAGAGATCTTCCGAAAGAGAGTGTCCATACTGCCAAAGAGCATCAAAAAAGTGATCTGCTTTTTTGAAAGAGCGTCCACACTAAATGAACATTTAAGCTGTGATTATCGTGGATGGAGTGGCCACCAGGGCACCCATGCTTTTTCCTGGAGGCTCTTCTTTTAAAAAAACTCCCTCTTCCCCATCCACACACGCCTTTTTCCAAAAGAGCTCTTTCGGAAAAGGCATTCTTCCTTGTAGGATGAGGTTTACCAATGTTGGAATAATCACTGCATTCTTTCTATTTTTCTTTCAAAAGAATGCAATAGCAGTGTGGACGTAAGTGAATTTTTTTCAGAAAAATGACCATTTTTCAAAAAAAGAAAACCCTGCAGTCTAGCTGTACCTTAAGTCATGGGGTGCTAAACCAGCTTCACAAAGTTTAATGGCACATTAAATGTCAAAAGAATGAAAGAACTGGATAAGTAATCCATTCATTTATCTTGACTTCTCTGTCTGACTGAAATTTAGGCTTCCTAGTGAGAGAACTAGAAAATAATGAACAAGCACTTCTAGTAGCCTCTTGTGTTTTCTCATCAATTGGCAACAAGCACTAGAGGTCTTAAAGTTAATGGTGTTTCCTCACTGACGTAAGCAGATTTGCTGTTTGTGATTGTGCTTTGAGCTGGCATTTAATACGCTAATGCTAAAAGCTTTACCTTACCTGTTGAACAGTTTGGCCCTGTGTAGGGCCTGTAGCAGTCACACTGGTAACTCAGCCACAAGTTGATGCAGCGTCCCCTGTTTTGACAAGGGTGGTTTTCACACCAGTCCTTTTTTTTACAGCCTGCTTTGACATGTAAAGATGTTTCGCTTGATATGTTCTCAGGGGTAATAACGTTCAAGTCTATTGCAATGTCCTGAAGACAGCCTACAAATGAAGGTGCAGAATGCATGTTATAGGTGTTAGGTGAGAAGTCACTGCTCATGCTTCCCACTGGTAAACCACCCAAAAATGTGCTCTGAAATGCAAGCATCAGTTGATCACTATCTATCGCAGTAGTAGATTTATTGACACATGATTCTACACAAGAGCTGTCAAGCAAATTAAGGGTAACAGCTCTTGCTAAGGTTACCTCCACGGAATGCCATTCTCCATCACTGACATTATGTGAAATATGCAAAAGAGCTCGTGGCTGGTTATTGACTTGCATGAATAAGTGTAAGTAGCCATTCAGTAACTCCAATTTCACAAATGTATCTTTCTCCCCTCGGTGAAATATAAAAGCTGTAGGTTGCACAGTCTGGAATCTCAGATTTATGGTATAGAAAGATCCCTGTAAAGGGGTCATGTCACTCTTCACCCAAAGGAAACCATGTCCCGCAAGAGAAAAGGTGGTGGCTGTTTCACAGTGTATTCCAGTATAGCCAGGTGGGCACATGCAGCTGGCTCCGTGGTGGCCATTTTTTAAATAAGGGATGCATAAACTGCTGTTTTGGCATGGATGGTCATTGCAGCCAATGAGGGCCTCTGAACAGTTCTTGCCACCATAAGAAGTTCCCTCCTTTTCTCCAAATGGGCAATGACAAGTGTAACTGCCATGAAAATTCTCACAGGTCCCACCGTTTTGGCAAGGGTTCATGGAACATTCATTGATGTCTTCTTCACAGTGAATACCTTAAAAAAAAAGCAGATTTGATTGGGTAAGTACAGGCCATCTTTTCCTCAAACTGTCTTAGAAATATAATAAAATGAACTCTATTTAAAGGGGGAAATCTGTTTATTAGGGGGTGATTGGTTCCCAGTGATGGATTGCAATGAGAATAGATGCTGGTTTTTGTACTGCAGTAGTGCCTAGTGGGGTTAGTCAGGGTCAGGGCCTTGTGCTAGGTGCTGTACAAGCACCTTAGTGGTAAGTAATTGATAAGAAAATAGCAAGCTACAAATTTGTCTTAAATGACAGTGAATGGAGTTGAGATAAAGACATGATTAAACACACTGTTTTCCACAGCAGAATGGGTATGAAAATGGTCATTTGGGGGGGGGGGAATGCATTTTTATCACATGGCAAAAGCCAGAAACTATTGGTCAATTTGTATAAATAATAAAATAGTACATAGATCACAGACTGGAGAGAATTCGTTTTCTTTTACATTAATTAAGTTGAGGGGAAGTACAGTCCCAATGTTTAGAGCTCTCCTCTTGGTTGTGGGATCCCTGGTTTAAAAACAGTTTTGAACAAACATCCTATGTGACTCTTTGCAAGCCACTTAGTCTCTCTGTGCCTCAGTTTCTTATCTGTAGCACAAGAATATTGGCACATCGCAGACTCCCAGAGATGTTTTGGGAAGTGCATTAATGATTGTGAAGTGCTGAAATACTACCGTGATGGGGGCATATAAATATCTTAAATAGAAAAAAGTTTCTCCACGATCATGTGCCCAGAGTCAACCTGTGGAATTCCTTGCCAGAGGATGTTGTGAAGACTAGGATTTTAGTGGTTTGAGCATTGACTTGCTAAACCCAGGATTGTGAGTTCAATCCTCGAGGGGGCCATTTAGGGATCTGGGGCAAATCTGTCAGGGATGGTACTTGGTCCTGACAAGAAGGCAGGGGACTGGACTTGATGACCTCTCAAAGTCCCTTCCAGCTCTATGAGATAGGTATATCTCCATTTTTAAAAAAGGTGATTCAAAGAAGAGCTAGATAGATTCATGGAAGTTAGGTCCATCAATGGCTATTAACCAGGATGGGTAGGAATGGTGTCCCTAGCCTTTGTCTAGAAAATGATGACAGGAGAGGGATCATGTGATAGTCATCTGTTGTGTCTCCTCCCTCTGGAGCATCTGGCATTGACCATTGTCAGCAGACGGGATACTGGGCTAGATGGATCTTTGGTCTGACCCAGTATGGCCATTCTTACATTCACTCTTCTTTTTACAGATTCAGCTTTTCCTAGGGTGACCCTTAGTCTTGCAAACAGATGGCTTTTTGCATATTTGAAACCCTGATAGTCAGGGCTCACGTCACCATATTTTGGGAATAACTTTTCCCTTCTTTCAACAGATTGACTCTGATGCTAATAACACAAATCTCACAGAGGTCTGAAACCCAATAAACAGGGCTTCATTCCCCTTTCCATCCAGAGCAGCCAAGAAACACACCAGTACCATTCACGAGTGACAAGTACTTATGGAATGGTGAGGGGAAATACATTTATACACCCATGGAAGCCTGTAGAAGATTCCAGTGAGTTTTTTTGTTGACAACTCATCAGAGTTCTAACAGAGATTCCATTTCCCTCCCCAGAGAAGGAAATGACGTGTCCTGACCTCTTTAGTTGAAATATAATGATAAAGTATGATCATTAGGAAGTAATTAACCAAAATCATTTTTTACATATTTATCTTCCACTGAAATTAAATTGGTTTAGATGGCTCTCTATTGGCTTTCCATAAACCCTGTAAGTTTTCTGTAGTGTAGTTAACAGAGACACTAACCCCTTCATCTAGAATAACTTACTATCACATCTATATCAGAGGGGAAGCCGTATTAGTCTGAATCTGCAAAAGCAGCGAGGAGTTCTGTGGCACCTTATAGACTAACTGGAATGTTGGAGCATAAGCTTTCGTGGGCAAAGACCCACTTCGTCAGATGTGCATCTGACGAAGTGGGTCTTTGCCCACGAAAGCTTATGCTCCAACACTTCTGTTAGTATATAAGATGCCACAGGACTCCTCGCTGCTTTTATCACATCTATAGAGATTGACCTATTACAGCAAAACATACAGATTTTCAAGGGAAATTATAGAAACAAGCTACATAATTTTGATTAGTTTCCAATAGCAGCCACAGTAATTCAGTATCTGTCCACTTTACACAATTATTATAATAACTAGTCCCCTATTTTAACAATGACCCCAATGACCCTTGTCATTTTTCTTTCTCAAATTATGGTGTGAAGTTTCCAGATCATCAGCTGTAGCCAATACTATCTTTTATGTTTTGGCAATGGCCTATTACTGCTGGAGTATTTCTGTAATATATATATATATATAGATATATATATATATAGATATATATATATATATATTCCATCATGAGATGTCTATTTGAACATTAATGCGTAGTGACACCTGGCAGAAATATGAATAATTGGGACTGACTTTCTTAAAGTCAAGTTCACTTTCTAAACCTTCATTGACTGCGGGCCAGGACACTATCTGCCTTACCCAGTTTACAGTAATCTATATACTGTTGTCTTGTCCTGCTTTTTGCTATGTGAGAAGTCATTTGAATATATGAAAAGTGAAGTACCACTGAGCTGTTCTGCTTTAGCTGATGTTTTAGTATATCATCTTCCTGATGTAGGTACTTTTTTGCCTTTAACATGGAGAATGAAGTGTCCTCAAGTTTTATATACAACTCAATCCTACATTGCTACTGAAGCACTTCGGATGTCACTGGGTTTATGTGTCATGACTCAAAATGTATGTAATATTGAAGCAGTCAGATTGACTTCTTAAGTATGCCAATGAGTGTACATCCTCAGAGTCATCAGAATTCAATTAATGGATCAGAACTTCATACTACACCCTTCATAGAGTGCATTGGCAAAGTGAGTGGCACAACATATGGGCTACGTCTAGATTGGCATGATTTTCCGGAAACACTTTTAATGGAAAAGTTTTCCATTAAAAGAATTTTCGGAATAGAAAATCTAGATTGGCATGGACGCTTTTCTGCAAAAGCACTTTTTGCGGAAAAGCGTCCGTGCCAATCTAGACGCGCTTTTCTGCAAAAAAGCCCCGATCGCCATTTTTGTGATTGGGGCTTTTTTGCGGAAAACAAATCCGAGCTGTCTACACTGGCCCTTTTGCGGAAATTCAAGAAGCCAGTGTAGACAGCTGGCAAGTTTTTCCGGAAAAGCAGCTGATTTTCTGGAAAAACTGGCCAGTCTAGACACAGCCATGGTCTGTCTAGGTACATCACTAGGTATGTACCCCTTTCCCCCATTGCACCTATCTGAGCCCTTCACATGTAGCATTGAGTCTATCCTCTCAGTTTATTCTTCCTGCCATTCATAAATGTATCACAAAAAAGAGACGATTCTCCACTTTGTTGCATCCAATGTAGTCCTTCCTACCTGTGGGAAGTGGGCATAAAGTCAGAATAGTAGCAGTTACACTCACTTGGCACTTAGTTTGTGTAGAAATCAACAACTACAGACAGTACAAAGCAGCAGAGAATCAGACCTTAAGTGCACATCAGTATAAAAATAAAGTAATGAAAATAATTCCATGAAGACAGAACATTTGTTTGTAAATCACGTGCATTTTCACTTTTTAAATTAAATAGCGGTGACATATGACAGAGAATGAAACCACACTTCAGCGTTCCTTTGGCTACAGAAAATAAACCCTGGAATGTAAAGAGTCTGCATGTGAGGATCAATTATAGGAAACATTATTTCATAAGAATTTCAGTGCTGAATGTGAATCTCTGTTGTTTAAGCAGTATTGAATAAGATTTCAAAAAAGTAACAAACCACATATATTCTAGCTTGTATTAATATCAGCAGAAAATATATATGCAAGTCCCACTGAAAACCCACAGATTAAATTCATGTTTAGTTCTCAAGAATAATTAAACCTCCTTACAAGCACTGGCTGATATTGTTTATTATTTTCCAGTTGTCTGTGCAAGGAAGACCACTGTCACTCAAGATAAAAGCACTCAAGATAAAAGGATTAGTCAATATTTATAGAACTGCCTATGTGGTTTACCTGCCTTAGTCTGGTGTACTTGTAATTATGTAAAAAATAGTTTGCATATTGGTAGGCCACGAGACAAACAAAAAATTAGCATGGGGGATAGAAGGAACATTAAGGGATATTAAATTGTTTCAGTACTTATAAGCTTTTGCTCAGCTAAATACATTATACATTCTTTTGAAAGTAAAATTAGCCAGTCTTCTTTTGTACATAATTATTTCATGCTATGATCGGGAATATTTTTAAATGTTTCTCATCATATACAATATGTTAATTTTCCCCCATCTGGGATGATGCATTTATTTAAAAAAATTTATGAAACGTGTACATTTGATCTTGTTCTTGAAAAAATGAATATATTTCTTTTGCTATTAAGATAATACAATGGTATTTACTCACCAAATTCTTAAAATCTTAAATTAAGCTCTTTGTTTTGAAATTAATAGCAAATGATTGCTTCTGAAAGTGAATGACAAAAGCAATTATTCAAATTGATTTTGCTAACTGTCCATTAGTTTTTCACCTCATTAAATAATTAAAAATAAAGCTATTCCATGAATTAAACATTTGTTTACATATTTGTTTAGAAATCTGTTTACCATCCCCTCCCAACTCAATTTTTAATGCCTTCTAAATATTATGCAAATAGCGAGTTGGTATTCAGGCCAGAAACTGTACAGTCTTAACTGCCAAAAAACACTAAGAGGTTAGAGCCAAGACAGTTTAGCAACAAAAAACAATTACCTGTAAATACTGTCATTATAACCATGTAAGCCCGCATCCTACTTGCAAACAATTTTTTCCGCAGTAAAATGGATTTTATAATATTAATGTGGTCCATGAAATCAGCTTCTGTCACATTTGAAACAGTTCTAGAAATGAGGGCTGCTTTTCCAGGATTAG